AAACAATTACATATGTTAGTTCCTACACGGGCATATGTAAGTTCCTACAGGGTAAAAACCAGGTACTTATGTTAGTTCCTACACGGCGGAAAAAGATACGCATGTAAGTTCCTACACCGTAAAAACCAGGTACCTATGTTAGTTCCTACACGGCGGAAAAAGGTACATATGTAAGTGTACCTTTGTGTGTATATATGTGTAAATATGTATATACGAATAAATATATGATGATTATATATTATATAATACAAATCGCATAACACATTTTCACAAATAAGCATATAATAATTACATTTGTTATTGAAACTTTATACGCTGGTATAGCTATTTAATATATGTAACTACATTCAAATATACTTATAAATAATACTTATAAATGTATATACGAAATCACTGGAAAATACGACAAGCTACAAGCTGATAATATTATCCCCTATACCGACTCGACGTAAGGAAAAAGATAAAATATCTTATTATCTATATTTTTGACATACAAAATATTTATGACTTTTCATCATCGATAAAAATGATACAGAACTTGATTTTGATTTGATAATCTTAAAATTAGTTATAAGTCTTATAACTATACACAGTAAAATGTACATCTAGTTATTTCTCTTAAAGGACTATACAACTAAAAAAACCTATTTTTTTTTATTGTTTTAATGTATAGGGCTTTGAAAAAGAATAATTTTGGTGGTCTTAAAATTGTTGTCGGACAATTGGTTCCGTGTTTAAATATAAGTCGCGTTTTACGCGTGACGTCATAAAATCACATCGTCCGACGGGTCGTATCTAATATACACGCGCGGAATTTATTTCGCGCGATTAAAATAATTATAGAGAAAAATTAATTAAAGGTACAAGTTATTAAAGTACATTTATAAAAAGGTTATACACTTCTTTAGATGGTCATATTATTTTTATTGTGTTGAAATTTGTTTCAGGGTAGTTTATAGGAAAGACAAAAAAATAAAATTTACATATAAGGTATATTTAATAATATTATAATCCGTTATTTAATGTATTAACGAATGTGTTATTATAATTAATAATATAAGAACTGAAATTAATGTGTAAAAAAAACCTCAAAATAAATTATATTACTTCAAACAAAAATACATAATATATTATACGTAATTGAATTATTATAATTATCATTACCTAGTTAGGTATATTATATATTTACTATTTAGGTAAATCTTGAATATCTTTTTGATTTTAATTCTTCATAGGGCGGGCGAGGTGTTCGATAAATATTTTTTGGGATGTCGGTATTACATTCTTTTTGTACATCAAACGGCCGTGGAGAAATTTCTTTTTCAGCTTCTTCGATAATTGTTGACATTATATCACGTTTCCAGTTATTTTGAGTCTTATTGTAAGAATTTTTTATTGTAAATCGTCCTAGTGGTTTAGAAAATACAACTTTTTCTCCTATTAATGTTTTTTTAGTATTATTGTTATGGTCGAGTATTGCTAATATAGATCGTACGAACATACCATTGAACTGTAAATGGATACGTTTAGGCATATACTTGAGCCTCACGTTGTGATAGGATTCCAATTTTCCGGTGTGCACAAAATGTTTTGCTTGTCTCAAATCTTTAATGAAGTCCTTCGCAGTTAGAATTTTTTTTAAAGCATCATAGGAACTAGTTTTCATATGTATCCAAAGCTTATTTTTTACTTGTTCGTCCGTCAGTTTTTCATGTTCGCATTGTTTTGTTATACCGTTTTCGTCTGTCCATTCATGAATATTAGCAATATGATATAAAATAGAAAGAAATTTATCTTCTAATAAATCGGCATTTTCTTCGCACGTCTGTGCTGACCACCATAAGTGATTATTAATACTTGATTTCCATAAATATACATCGGGATATTTTTTCTCTAATGTCTTCATTCTTTTCATTAGACTTTTTGACAGGTGCCATATGTCAAACTCATGATTTATTTCGGGGTGTTGGGTCCGAAAAAAATATCGAATACCTCTATGACGGTCAGATAAAAACAGTTGAATCTTACAATCATATTCTACAATAAATTTTTGTATCAACATTTCGCATGCGGCTCTTTCGAGGTCACCCGTGACCATCCCTTTTTGGACTAATTGAAAATCAATTATTTTAGAACTATTTAAATCCATAACCGAATAAATGCAATATTTTGCGCAAAAACCTGGCGAATCGTATTGGCCATCACCAGCAAGCCAGATGTTGGGTAATGTCTTTAAATTATTTAAATTATCTTGTTTGTGATAAGTCCAAACATTGTAAACCACAGGTCCAATATATTTTTTTATGATTTTGTCATAAGATGTTCTAGAGAAAAAACGTAGATTCAATACTTGACAAAATTCAACCATTTGCGCAAATAATATACCTGATAACATTAGTGCCGATCCAATGCATATATTACCAATTGCTCTTTTTTAATTTTTTTTTGTGAGTACCACTGAAACGTATGATTTTTTTCACATACAGTAGTTACACATAGACAAGAACCTTGAATAAAATTGTTTAATGATAATATTTTTGACCCACACACATTACAATTATTAAAAAGCTTTGATAGGCATTCCCAAAAAACGATAAAACACTCATCCTTATTAAAATTTATTGATGATTTAACATTTTTTGACTTACAAGTATTATAATTGTTTTGCGATTCTGAAGTCTCATCATCACTGGTGTTTTCGCTGTCCTCGGATTCCGATTCTATTTCAAACGATAAGTCATTTTTTTTTTCATAATTAATTATTCTGATCAAATTTTCGTTTCCCAATTCACACTGTATTCCTATTTCACTTGTTTTTTGAATTTTATTATTGACATCTGGCTCCTCAATAGTTGAAACATCGTCAATTTCTTCAAAAAACGACGACTTTGTTACCATTTTTTTCTTCGGTGTACTAGTTTTTATTAAATCATCAATTATTTCTATTTGGCGTTTTTTCATAATATGCAGTGATTCTTGCCTGGGATTTACAGATTTTTTTGAATTGCTTATACCAGTTTGAATACTAGGTACAGCGTCGGGATTTAATCTTACAATGCACTTGGATTCTGGCATAAGTTGTTTTTTTAAAACATCTGATTGATTAAAATCAAGCGGAATAAAATGTTTAGAACAAATAACCGACCCAGCACTAGGCTTAAAATTTTTTCTTTTACAAAAATGCTCCCATTTTCGATGTCGTAATGGTGATTTATCGCGTTTTGGAAAAGTGTAAAAATGCAAGTTATTATCATTATCAACTGTTTTACGTTTACGATCGTTATTCGACGCACAACCAAATACCGAGCACAAAGTCATATTTGTTTGATTATAAATAAAACCAGAAAACACGCGGATACTTCGATACTTCACGGTACATACTGTCGACTATCGACTGAGGTCTGACTGTCTGAGGTATAATTTATATTTATGCGTAGTGTGAATAGCCCGTTTATTTTTATCAATTAATTTATATTACATAAAATATAAGCTATTTATAAAAGCTATAAATAATATACTTCATTGGTGATTACGTATACAAATTCATAATATGGTCGTTTATTACAGTACCTACTGCAGTGTACGCTGACTGATTCAACTTCAGCGCTAGAGTCTAAAACAGTAAACGATTTTTGTTCTATTTTGAATTTTATAATACAATTATTATGTCTATAATTCCGTACAATTTTGAGCCTTTGGTTACCGATGTTGATAACTATGATTATTTGGAAAACGAAGAATCAGTAGTTAGTTACAACGATAGATCTAAATTAGCTGTAACAGATTGGTGCTCGTGTGGAAAATGTGAAAAACAAATAAATGATCGTGAATGTGTTTGTTGTTTTGAACTTGCGAATATTTTTAAAATGTGCACAAACAATGAGTGCATAACAAAAAGTGCCTCATTTTCAAAAATTATATTAGATGAAGACATTTTAAAAATTACCAGACAATACAAAATTTCAAAAACAAAGAATAAAACAAAAAAAAGAAGTTTACAATCAGCTACTATGGAAAATAAAGCATGGCGATATATTTGCTACAAACAGTTTACACTTTGGGTTAATTCATGGATGACAATTGGAAGAGGTAAGTAAATTTATTTTCGATAATGTTATAGTGATAAAATCATAGGTAAGTGAAAAAATATAATAATTTATTGTTTATTGTGTTTGTTTTATACTATAGGGAATAGAGTTGTTATTCCATCATGTGTGGTCACAAAAATTCGTGAACGTTATCCGGAAGAAAACGGATTATATATTGGTTTTCAAAATCCGTGATTCATGTTATCTATTTCTTATTATAATAAGTTAAACATTATAATTCATAATATAGTACATAAAATAATAATATGTAAGTTGTTAGTTTTATAGTTGTTTAAAACCTACTATTACACTTCTATTCTAGGGTACTCACCTTTATTGAATGATAATATTTTATTTTGAGGTTTTTTTTACACATTAATTTCAGTTCTTATATTATTAATTATAATAACACATTCGTTAATACATTAAATAACGGATTATAATATTATTAAATATACCTTATATGTAAATTTTATTTTTTTGTCTTTCCTATAAACTACCCTGAAACAAATTTCAACACAATAAAAATAATATGACCATCTAAAGAAGTGTATAACCTTTTTATAAATGTACTTTAATAACTTGTACCTTTAATTAATTTTTCTCTATAATTATTTTAATCGCGCGAAATAAATTCCGCGCGTGTATATTAGATACGACCCGTCGGACGATGTGATTTTATGACGTCACGCGTAAAACGCGACTTATATTTAAACACGGAACCAATTGTCCGACAACAATTTTAAGACCACCAAAATTATTCTTTTTCAAAGCCCTATACATTAAAACAATAAAAAAAAATAGGTTTTTTTTAGTTGTATAGTCCTTTAAAAGTTAGTATTGTTCGAAACATCTGAGTGTCCGTACATATTATCCGTTTATACTAATCATATACAGTTATACAAATTCACAATGAGCGAGAATGTATCATTCATGTTGAGTGAAAAAGGCAAACAACTACTAGTTTTGAATAATTTAAAATTTTTTAAGCATCATACATCTAAAAAAAATGAAATTACGTGGCGTTGTGTTATAAATAAGTGTAATGCAAAAGTTTATACTTTGGGTCAAAATGCCCAATTAATTAATACAGATAAATCGTGTTTTGATCACAGCCATGCAAGTGATAGCACTTTAAATCGGCAACAAATAAGCAATGCTTGCAAAAGAAAAGCTGTAGACTCTATAGTTGAAAAACCGTCAAAAATAATACGAAAAGAAGTATCAAATTATGCTAAAGAAGGATATTTGATTGCACCCGACTTATAACTCATACAAGGAATATTCATAATGCAAGGATGCATTGTTTCCTTAAACTGCCAACATCAAGAAAAGAAGTTCACGAAATATTAAGTTTATTAGACATAAAAACAAATAGAGGTGAGTTATTTTTATATGAAAATGATGCGCTAAATGAAATAGTTATTTTTCCATGTAAAACAAATATAGATTTGTTAAAAGAATTAGATGTTTTATAAATGGATGGTACTTTTAACTATAGTGATAAATATTATACGCAACTATACACGATTCATGGCATTAAAAATGGAGTGTACATTCCGTTAATGTTTTGTTTATTGCCAAATAAAGAAAAAAGACTTACATTGCATTATTGAAAACAATAAGTAATACCTAAAAAAATTATTTTAGATTTTGAAATAGCAATGCATCAAGCAGTTTTTGAAATTTTTCCGGAAACAGAGGTTTTTGGATTTCGTTTTCATTTGGGCCAAGCTTGGTAAATCCAAAATTTAGGTTATGATTTAATTCTGTCAAAATTTAATTCTGCAAATAACGATGTAGGAAAATGGTTGGTACATATTTTTGGACTTCCTTTTCTCAATCCAGAGGAAGTGGCAGAATGTTTTACAGAATATTTTATGGCAGACAAACCTGAAAATGCAGCTATAACCGAATTTTGTGATTATTTGGTAGACAATTTTATATATCAAATGAATCAATCTTTCCTCCAAAAATGTGGGCGCGGCAATGTTCTGATAGAGTCCATACGACAAACGCTTGTGAAAGTTTTCATTCAGATTTTAACTCTAATTTTTATCACCAACATCCAAATATTTTTAAAATTATTGAAATTCTCAAACTTTTTCAAGTAAATACGTATATAAAAATAAGAACTACAATTAATAACCCAAAACCAAAAATCAGTAAACAATACACCGAAAAAGAAGATTTTATAAATGAAAAAATTTCAGATTATAGAACAAGCAAAATAAATCAATACGATTATGTTAAATTATTAAGTTATAGAAATAAACCTCATAAAATATAAGTTTTCATTTTTATTATATTTCTTACTCTTTATATTATTTTATATTTAATCGTGAAAAATTAAAATGCATTATGCAATTTGTATTATATTGTATAATCATCATATACATATTTACACCTTTTTTCCAGAGTGTAGGAACTAACATACGTACCTGGATATTACCGTGTAGGAACTTACATGCGTATCTTTTTCCGCCATGTAGGAACTAACGTAGGTACCTGGTTTTTACCGTGTAGGAACTTACATACGTACCTTTTTCCGCCGTGTAGGAACTAACGTGTGTATTTTTTTTACCTGCTACTCTCGTGTAGGAACTTACATTCACCCTTATCATCAACTGTGTTATCTGGACTACCACAATTTAGTAATAACAAAGTTATATTTAATTACGTTTAATTAAAATTTCAATCAATCTGGTAAAAATAAAATGTATAGTTATAAAAAATTATTACAAAATAATGTATACTTAAAAAAAAAATATATATATATATATATATATATAATGTATACAATTTCAAATTAAAGAATAATATGTTATAATAATAAAACATGTAGTTAATAATTTTTTTGCGGAGGGAAGTATATTTTAAGATTCATTAGAATTTTATCGAATGGTGTATCATTTCAAAGGTTTTGTCGCCAAACAAATTCAGTCAGATATGAATCTAAATGATGGTGAGTTGTTCAACTCTGTTTTTTGTTTCGCTACTTTGCCAATCCCCAAAGGTGTTCAATCGTTTGTGTGTGAAAATAAACTTTCCTCGATCTCTATGATTTTCCTCTGTTTACCTATTATTGTTTGTGGATTATTTTCGACAGCGATTGCACATAGTTGAGGACTTGAGGTAACCCAGATGATTCTAACAGGTAGTCTTGTAAATATTTGGGTAGTCGAGATAACATGGATGATTCTAATAGGTAATCTTGGAAATATTTGGGTATTCAAGATAACACATAAATACCCATTTTAGTAAGTATAGCATCTTGTGATTGTGAAATTAACATGGATTAAGTAGGTACTTCAAGGACCCAAAACAAAATATTTTGTATATATTTTTATTTTGTATACTTTTTGATGGTGTGACCATTAAGCCAATTAAATTTTTTTAATTCAAGTAGGTAATACCTATCTCTAACATAATGTATAAGCACATAGCAGTGGTTATCTAATAAACCATCTATATTTAACAACTAATTCAAAAATAAATTGTATAATAAAATAAAACTGATAGAGTTTGAACGAAACTTAAGTTAGTATATTTATTGATTTATAAAAACATATCAAAAATAATATTAAAAAAAAACAGAAATGTAATATAATATTTAATGGCTGAACAAAACTTAAAATATGAACCTATAAAATCATAAATAACAATAATATAAATATAATAAATAGATATAAATAATAGCAAACAAATCATAGTATATAGCTGCATTGCATATAAAACAACTCAAAATATTAAATTATCATAAATATTAAAATAATAAGAAGTTACCAAAAATCATATTATTACTACACATCTAAAAATATAAATTATGTACAAACAATTATAAATCATAATTATAATTATTATTGATGTAAATGAGAAATTGTATAACTTATTATAAATCGAAATTTTTGCTTATTTTTTTTTTTGTTTAATGCAATAATACATAATATACATTTCAAAAGGTTACATACGTGTATCTAATTATTTTTTATAAACTACTTGGAAAACATTAACATTTGGACGTTTACTTTTTTATTATCACTTATTGTGTATACCTTATCTTTTGTATCATCATACATTTGCCACATATTGATGGGATGTCTGTATGCATGAGTATGGTAGTGGCCTAATGTATCGTATGATATTGCTTCTTGTTGATTTTCCGGTGTCGTTACCGATCCTCTGAAATAATATTCGGTGTCTGCTACTGTGAGGTATTTTGGAATATGGTTTAATTGTAAATTAGTATCTGTAAATTGTGCATCCATGCTATTATTTAAATTTATCATATTAAAAAAGATATGATGACCAAATGTAGGTATTAAGTTGAAGGATTTTGAACATAATTTACAACGGGTGGAGTTATCATACAGGCTTTTAATCTCAAAATTTAACAACTTTTCAATTTGTCTTTTTGTCGGATTCTTTTGAGACACACAAACAGTTATGTATGGTTTCTTTTCTACCTTTTCTGCATGAACACAAGAATCGCATTTTTCAACTATTTTTACACTTTCATCATCTACTAATAATTTTATGAGCATGCTGTCTACAGCTTGTTCAACTGATAAGTATATAATATTATTTACCATCTTCTTTCCAGGATAAAACTGCTTTAAAATTTTGGCTCGTTTTTTATATGTTTGAACAGTTACACCATCTCGGAGTAACGTATAAACTAGATGCCATAGTGTACTTTCATCTTTCCTTTTTGTTACGTATGATGCATATTCATTAGTATCGCAATATGCAACTGCTAAAATTTGAGTAACAGAATCAAAAGCACAGGTATTTGCAAACACAATATTTTCATCATCTAGTCTTTTGCTCTTGAATTTAAATTTCTTAATAAAATTTCTCGATTTGGTGCCAAATATATTAGTTTTTTTTTCTTGGGTTAGTTAATATATTATTACCCCAATTCTCTTCGGATGTATCCTCGGTTTCTAATATTGGTATTGTGTGTATATCTGTTGTTGTTACTGTAGACACAGGTTGGTTACACATTTATTGATTTGATACCTTTTTTATTGGTGGACTATTTAAATCTAAAATTTCGTAGAGATTGCTCAAATCATCATTAACTCTTATGGTGTCTATTTCATTTATTGCTTCATAATTTATTACTTCGTCATTTATTGATGGAGGTGTAAGATTTTGATGATTTTGGTTGACTTCACTGACATTAATTGGAATTTGATTGATTTTAGCATTCATTAATTTCATTGTACCATTGATAGATTGAATATGTATTTTTAAGAAATTATCGACTCTCATTGGCATACTATTGGCGTGTTTAAGGACCCGATTTTTGAAATCATTGAACTGGCTTTCAATCGAAGCACTAGATGCAGGAACGTCACCATATTTGAATGCCTTACACATGATTCCAGACCACAAAGGCATGTATGTGCACAAATTTAATACCAGTGTTGCAATAGTTGGTATGAAATACATATTATCGTGATCCCCCACTTGATCATTTACATCAATTTGACATTGTTCAGCGATATTCTTAGACATTTCATAAAATGGTCCTCTTGTGTTATTTAAATGAATGATATCTTCAAAACCTAGTTCTTCAATATTTTCGTTCAAATTTGATTCTACAAGTCCTGTGGCAATCCGTTGTCGTAAGAATTGTCGTCCATTTTCACAGAAGGTTTTATGACAATTAACCAAATAACCATCTGTATTACTGTAAATGAGCCAAAAAAAACTTCTCAATGGTTGTTTTAAATCGTCTATATCATCAGATAAAATCATTTGTGCTATTGAACGAACAATAAAATCGTTCACTCTCTTATCAACTGACTGAAGTGGCTTCCAAGTAGTCACCAGTTTTATAATATGGGCTATATCACACCTAACCAAACATGTCGGTGGATCTTGTTGTATATTAGATAATAATTGGAAACAAGCACATATGTAATTAGTTAAATTATTATACTGTGTAAACGCTCTTACGACAGCAGTTAATAATGCTAATGACATGTCAGACCTGGAATTAAATTTTTGAAGTAAGAATTTTTTTTTTACTGTATATGTGATAAAGAGGATATAAATATATTAAAAAAAATACTTAAAAAATTTTTAAGTTATTTCCCAATGAGATATTAGAATGTCCTCTGTGAAGGACATTGGGCTCTTACGCAGTCATAATTATAATAAAATCAAATATTTTTGATTTTATATAATATTGTGAAAGTAAATTAAAAAAATAATAAAATAATAGTGTAATCACAATTTTTAATATACATATTATAATAAATATTTTCTACTTGAAAATATAAAAAACAAAAACAAAAAAAAAAATAAAAAATAAAATAAAAAATAAAGTAAAATAACATAACAAAAAATAAAATAAAATAACTTGGTGGTTAATAACATAACTTTTAACATTGTAGATAATATTTTTCACTTATAATAATTATCACAATTAATGCAAGGACTAGTTCATGTATAACAATAAAAAAATAGTAATAACAATTATTATTTTCTTCTTGAAAATAATATTTTATAAATTATTATAAAAAAAGATGCCTATATCTTTATAGGTATAATTATAAAACATAACTCATTTTGTAATAAATAACATGATAATATGTTCTTATTTTCTATGTTTTTGACGATAACATTCTCGCCCAGGAACAAAACATAAATGTATATTACATTTGTCACAATAAACATTTGTCTTGAATTTGCATGGACTATTTTTACATCTACTACTATTTAGTTTGTTGTCAAAAGTAGGCATATGATCTAATCCATCTTTTATGGTTTCTTCATATGGAGTTGAATCTACAGATCTTGGTTTGGTTCTAACTGGTTGTACTTCAGGTTCAGGAGTTGGAGATGGCGATGTACTAGGCCGGCCTCTTTTCTTTGGAGGAGTTATGAATGATTTGGTTCTTCCTAATGAAATTAGGGTGGTTGCTAAACGTTCTTTGAATGCTAGTAAGTCCATTGTGTTTCGAATTAGTATATTACAGTGGTTAGTGTGTTTCTTATACTCTAACCAACTGTTCACAGTAGCCATATCAAAAGCATGAGCAATTAACCTCAGTGTCCATTTTCGAGACTTGATAAAAGTTCTGTAAAAGCTAACAAGTTGGTCATGAACGTCTACTCCTCCCATTGACTTATTATATAAACCAATGACTTCCGGTCTTTCAACATCCACAAATTGTTTATGTTTTTTGTCCCAACGCTTGATTGTTTCAGGTTCACCAGATGTTATAAAATTAGAACCTAGAACAACTCCTTTATTGTCAAACCATTTTATGAGACCTATTTGACTTTTTTGGCCTTCTGCTATTCCAGATACTTCATAAGAAGTTCCTCGACCCATTTTTGATAAACATTTATCGGTTAATAGTGGAGGGTTAGCAAATCGATTGACTCTAACGGTCCCAGCAGCATAAATATACCTGTCAGCTAGTACAGACAATAAATTATATGAAGTGAAATAATTGTCAAAATACACATAATGCCTATTTCTCTCCAGACGTTCAATGAATTGCATCACTACTGCTCCACCTTGGCCAAATAGATTTTGAACAACAGGATCTAATTCAGTACTACTACCTTGGAACATGATGAAATCATAGACAAGTCCACTTGAACCACACATTAGAAAAATTTTAATACCCCAAGGATGAGGCTTACCTCGCATGTACTGTTTTGGAGCAAGTTTACCTTTAAAAGGAACCATTTGTTCGTCTATGCTTATATTTTGTTCAATTGGTAGTTGATAAAATCTATTTTTCATATGGTTATAAAGTGGTCTAACTTTTATGAATTTATCGGTATTTCTCTGTGGAATTTCTTCATTATTCATGACATGAAAATGGGTTCTCAACTCAAAAAATCTATTTCTAGTCATATTATTAGCAATTATATCAATTCTAAATTCTTTTTGCCAATACATCCTGACCCTTGGTAAATTCAATACACCCATCATCAAATGAATACCAACAAAAACTTTCATCTCTGCAGATGTTGTTTGAACCCATTTATTTGTTAATTTTTGTTCGGCATAAATATTAGTGTACATGGCCATTTCATTAAATGCTTCTTCAGTAAAATATTTCATAAAATAAGAAATTGGTGATGGTATAGTATTAGGGAACTCTGTTTGCTCAACATTTCTAAGAATTATGTTTTTTTGTTTCATAGGCTTACATAACCACTTGATTGAACTTTTAGCGAATGTTGTAAATTTTTTGAGTACTGGTGGTGTATTTGTATGTGTTACAATATTTGGCATGCTTACTTCATCAGTAGGTAGTGTCTGTATTGGTAGTAGTTGATCAGGAGTAAATATATCAACGTCATCTTCATTATCGTCTTCTTCACCATCAACTGTACCATAAACACTTTCAACGAGTTCATTTGCAATTGCAATGTCGTCAATGTCTTCATCGTCTTCTTCATCAGACAATTCTATGTCTGAATTCATGCCATCCAACATATCAAGCAACTGCTCATTGGTCAACTTGCAACTCATCTTTGACTAATTAATAATATAATAATTATATTTTTAAATCAACATAATAGTTATAAAATTATTATTCCAATGTTATTACTTACTTGTGTATATGATAAATAGAAAAAACAACTTAGAATTTAAAAACGGAATCGCTAATATTTATACAAATAAAATAAGTTTTATTATATGTATAATATATTATATTATTATTCAAACATAACAAATAACTATCTAACTAAACAACGTAAGTCGTAACAATTAACAACGACATAAAATATAAATAAGTAATAACGAATTTGACATTAGGTTCCTATTTTCGTATTATAACGTTTTTGATAAAATAATAAAATGAATAATGATAATATGATGTTATCATAATTTTACTCCGTAAGTGCCCGATGTCCTCTGTGAGGGACATACATAACTGCTGTTATAACATCAAGATTACTGGTTTTGGTGGAACAATGGTGATTCGTACATATGGACTATAATGTTATCATGACAAAGAAAAAGTTTCAGATTTCTAAAACCAATTCATCCACAAGAAAATCATAATTCTGTTATCAACTATTGATAAAAAATGTTGACAACAATTTTTGTTCACATTTATTACTATAAAATATACATTATAAGACTCGCATAATTAATATTATGTTATTTGTAATCATTACGCTATTACCATGACGATAAGATATTTTTTAAATATTATAACTGATTTGTAACCTTATGAGAATTAATATAAAAGAATGTCCTCTGTGAGGGACATGGGGTCTGAAAGGGCTAATGACATGTCTGTAATGACTTGTTTTGGATATGGAGCTCCGTATCTAATCCATTCTATTAACCAATTGTAAATTGAATTATTATTATGCTTCTCAGATAACATGTGGCTTATTGAATATTGAGCCTTAATGGTTTTGTCGTGTATAGCGATTTCATAGAGCAGAATATTTCTTGTTTTCTTCTCGGATTTTAAAGTTGGTTTTTTGACTAATCTGCCAGTTGCGTCTATGCAAATTGTTGAAATGTTATTATGTTGTACATATTTTCTATTAACATTAATTTCAGGAGCAGTCCAATAGTGAACATAAAATCTGTCATATCCAATGTCTTTAATTATGTTGATGTATGGATGCAAATATTTCATTTTACAAATTGCCAATATAGGGTCATCCTCTTCTCGTTGATCTTTTACAGCTTTACATTTTATGATTCTTAATGCGTTTGCTGTTGGCAAATGACTAGGTTCTTTGTCATCAAACTCCATCAAATCATTAGCTTCAGTCCTCCTTAACATATCCGCAGTTATTTTTTCATTCACTAGTTTTTCGACGTAATATTTTATTTTTTTCAAACGTTGTTTTACGTTTTGTCTTATCAACGTATTGCCGAAAATTCCCACTATAGGTACAATGGAAAATCGCTCTACTATTATCCGAAGGTTTTTCCTGGAGTATACCTTTTAGTTTACTATCACATGTTTTGCACTCGCCGTAAAATTCACAAAGTTTATCCCAGATTCATAAATCTTAGCTCTTTTATAGGTAATAGAACAAGCAATTTTTGTCTGTTCCCAAAAATGACTGTGAACTATTTCTGTCCATATTCCAGGACTCAACATTAATTACGGTTTAGGTATGTTGAATTATTTAACTGATATTTCTTTTCACAATGTATTGCTGCCCATTCTTCTTTACTCAAAGTTATTTTAAAGTTAATTTTTTCAATATCATTGTCAGAGTGACTTTCAATTTCAAAATCACTTGAATCATTATCAATTAATTCGATACTTGTATCATTCGACATAATGACATCATCGTGTGGTTTAATTTGAATTATTCTCAACACGTCGTTTCTATTACACTTCAATATAGTGTATATGCATTTTTTGGATATTTCTCCATTTAACCCTTCTCTTATATCTGCCCAAATTGGATGCGTTGGACCAACTAACATTTCATGTCCCTCGAAAATTTTATTTTTGTATTCGTTGATGGCTTTGACTATGTCATCAAACGGTATACTAATTTTCCTCGGCATGATTGGAAATTCTATGAGAAATATTATTTATATTATACTAATTATTATGTTTATAGTTCAATTATACTTATCCAGTTTATATCATTTAATTGTATTAATTTTTATTGATAAATAAATATTTTGAAAACGTAGTATTAATGATATAACAATATAATAAAGATAAATAAAATTTTTTTGGACTGCTATGCTTATAACAATTATTATACTTAATTTCTGATTCTATGTAATAATTATCAATACATTTTACAATGACATATTTGTTTTCTTTTAAGTATATACTTCATATGCGTAATTAAAATTACTATTCTTTAGATTCTGAGCGTAAGGATAAATGCATTGTAATTACAATGATGTGTGTTCTTGTTCTGGCATCAATATTTGGGGTAGTAAATACTAAATATGCTCCAATTTTCGACATTAACAACATTTCTGATAGAAATGTGAATCTAGTTGGTGCATTCGGGAGGTCATAATTGAAAACTCCTAGTAGTTTACGAAAGCGTTGGGAAAAACAAAAAAAAATGCTAATTTTAAATCAAAATCAAGTTTTGAATAATTTTATTTGATTTTATTGGTGTAACTCATAAACAATTCACTAATGACCATAGATACTTGACAATTTTCACAAAGCATTCATATTAGAATTTTCTATAGTACCTAGGTATATGGTAAATATTTATAGTATAATATTTTGACTCTTTTTGTGCTATTTATAGTCATGAGACATTTTTCTTATTTTGCAGTTAGAAATTCAAAATAAGTTTTTCTTTTCGTAGCTAACATTAGAAATTGTAATAGAAGATTCCCAATAAGTTTTTCTACCTTTATCAAAAAATAAAAGTTACGCTATTTATAGCCATTAGATATTTAAATATTTTCTATTGTTTTTTTCTTAATTATTAAATAAGGTATTTATACAATTATACTAAAATGATACAACGTCTCTACTCGGATATCATTTTTTGTATGCAATGATGTATCTTTCAATTCAAATATAACAAATCCATTACAAAGACATGCTCGACAGTAATTATTACTGTATCTACAGCTGAATCTGTACCCGCGTCTTGTCTACCTTTTTTTATTTATACTAGATATTATACATTTATTATTATTATATAGGTAGTTATGTACAATTTTTTAATTTCAATTAATGTTAAATATTCATTTACCTTATATTCATACCTATGTGAATACCTATGCAGTGTGCCAGTGTGTAAAACAAGACACACATATTTTTTTTTTGTCTGAAAAGAAGTAGAATAACCAACACTTTAATTTCCCACTTTAGAAGTGGTTTCTGGTAGAAAATATTTGATCTAGTAGGTACATTTTAAAGGCCAAATTTGGAACAATACCTAGGGATTTTAAAAATTGGTCAGTTGCTTTTAGGTATAGTAAAATGTAAATCATTTTGTCATATTGACATTGTAGTAGGTATCACAAATAAGTTAAATATGTATAGGGTCATAGGCAAAACTATTAAAATTAAAATGTCATGACAGGTAATATTTTCCATTACTGCATATTTTACAGTTCATTATTACATTTATAATTTGTTACTTATGTAACAAGTATTAGCATTAAATCTAATTTGTTAGGTACTTACAAGATTATTAATCACTAGGTAGTTCACATCATGGTATGATTATGTTCATAGTGCTTTTTGTAGATATTACCGACCTACTCTAAATTAGTCCAGATGAATGTTGAAATGTAATTTTTAATTTATTTTATGCGGACTAAGTCCTAATATGCTCCCCATTGGTGCCTATGCTAAGAACAAGATTTGTCACTAATTACTAATTAGGTAATTAGTTTCTTATTAAAATTTATTTTATAGGAAAAAATAGAAATACCTTTTTTAGACTTAATTGAATTGATGATACATAGCCAGCCTCCCTCATTCCAAAAATTGGACAACTGTCAAAATTTTCAAACTACTGTAACGTGGTCGGGGATGGCCCGTTAAATATAAGATATTCAGGGAAGAAATTAATTCTTTTGAATATATTTTTACCGTAGCTCGGGAGCACGAATGGTATTAGGATCTTAATATTACAAATAAATAACGATTGATCTAAATTATTATTAATATAAACAAATTATTTATTATAACTTACAATTTACGAACAAAGTTACCAAAAATGTGGGATTGTACGGAGTTCAGGTGCACGTGATGGACTCGCGGAGAACTGGTATTCTCTTACATAGGGATATTGGCCGGAGCCTTACAATCATAAAATATATATGTGTCACCTAAACCGGAGGGGCTTAATATATTATTACAGTCAGCGCATAATATGCCTAATGTGCATATTATGATGCTTATAAAGTAAACGTAATGATGTAACATACGTTACATTACCCCCCTCCCTTTTTTTTGAACATTTTAAATATACCTACTATATACAAAAAAAATAACAATATAAATCATGTTTCATTTAAACAATACATCCCTTTTTTTTTTTAATTTAATAAAATATATCATTAAGGTTAGTTTTATTTAAATTGATTGAAATTGTACCTGATTTTGAAGATTTACCACTGTTTTGGTGTGAATACGTGATAAATGATATTTACATTATATATTATGTATACATACACTGCATGTCTGCATTAATTATACATATAATATGCATATGATATATTATATCTTTATGTTTAGTTATTAAATTTAGTTCTGTTTTTCTCGGGCTTATCAATGTGACAACACTCATGATAATAATATATTAATTGTATTTTTGAGTGGCGAGAGCACTATATCAATTTTTTCTTGATTCATCAGTTTTTGACGATCATCGTATATGTATATAATGAAAATCAAATCTACGTAAAATTTTGCAAGTGTCAATGATGTGGTAGTGTCAGTGTATAATTTCAACCAGTTTTTTACTACCATTTTTATTTTTTATAGTAATATTTTTTATGTGAACCCTTTTTCTACATTTGTATATATACGCCTAACGCATGTTTTCACACGCTCTTTTTTTTTTTTTTTACATAATATACCTATGCCTTATAATAAATTTACAATATAAATCCACATCATACTCATGTACGATATTAGTGTTCCGAAATTATTCTTCACCCGTTCCGTCGTTTGGATGTCATCGGTCCCTCAAGGCCTCAACCAGTATTGAAACAGGGAGGTCTGTTATAGTGGTCTGTCCTTGGATAGGTGCACTCTGTACCGCTATAACCTCGGCGTCGTGAACGGTCTTGATTGAACCACCATAATATGTCTTGGATTCGAGGTTTATGGTTCGGTTATAGTCGCCTAAATTTGTAAACTTTCTCACTCTTTTTTTTTGCTTACACTTTTTTTTTGTGGTTGTTATGGTCAAATAAAAAAAATTAATTTATCCTTATGCTAAAAAATAAATAAGTACATAAATGATTATTTAATAATATTACTCTTATTGCACTATTCTATCTCGACACCTTATTCTTAAATTTATTAATTAATTACTATACATGGAGGTAAAGTGATATCGTAAGATTTTTTACGCACTGAAAATCCATAGAATGCTATATGGGTAACAAAATTTGATAATATGCTAGAAAAAATTAAAACTGTTGTAATTGTGCTTACTGTACATAACTTAATTGAGGTATGATATTCTTATTGTATTTCCTTTTAGTATCTATTTTATTTTGATGATTTTTGATTTACTGAGCTACTATTTTATTAGTAGGTACTTTGTAGACTATTTCGAATATTGCAATTCAACATTTGCTTGTGTTTACCTTATTAATTTTACGTGTCTCATTTAAAAAATGTATATACATGGTATTCTTAATATATATTTACTAAGTAAAAATTCAAATTCACATTTTTATGTGTTGTAATAAAAACATTTTGTATGTTTTCATTAGGCAAGCATATACGATAATAATTTTATTTCTTTTCCCACATTTATTATACGTTATATTTATTATATACAATATACATTTTATACTATAATTACAATTATTCTAATGTATTATTTAGCGTTCTTTATATTTTTTTAACTGACTAACATGTTTGTATTCGTTTACTAACTGTCCATTTTTAATTATTTCTACTACATAAGTTACATCCGATACTTGCTTCATTATTTTAAACGGGCCGTTGTACCTGTAAGCAAATTTAGATTTTCTATTTTCGTCTTTAATCAGTACTTTTTCGTTTAATTTAAATTTTACCTGTACCTTATTTGAGTCATAATGTTTTTTATTTTTTAAATATCTGTCCGCTAATAATTTTGGGAGTTCGTCTCGAATATTTTTTAATTTTTCTAATTCCAGTAAAATTTCGGGGGATGTTTCTGTACTTATAAAGTTGTGATCAAATATGGATTTTGGATTATATCCGTGTAATAGGTAAAACGGTGTGTTTTTCGTTGCATCATTAATTGCTGTGTACTGTTTACTGCTTATACGCAAATAGTACATATTTAAGTATAGACTCCATTTTTTTGGTTGTTCCTGTACAAAGTGGCTAATCATATCTATCAAAGTCCCGTTGAACTTTTCTGTGTGGCCTTGGCTCTGGGGACGGTATGCATTTGAATATGTGTTATTTATATTTAGCGCTTTTAGTAAGTCTTTCACCAATTTATTTGCAAAATGTAAGCCTCGGTCAGAGTGTATTTCGCCTATTGCTCCGAATTGTAAAATTATATCTATTAAATATGCTACTGTCGACCTTGCGTCAGCGTTTTTGTATGATTTTGCTATAGCGTATTTTGTAGTTGCGCAAGTTCCTACCAAAATATATGAGTTGCCATTGCTTGGGGGATTAATTGGCAAAATATAATCTATTGTAAATCGTTGAAATGGTATACCAATAATTTTTGGTGATGTTAGCATTTGACCATAGGTCGCTTTTTTATCCGATTTCCTTTTTTGACAACTAATGCATGATGTTACATATTTGCGTACGTTTTTATATATAGTGGGCCAAAAATATCGTTGAATAATTTTATTGTATGTCTTGTCAATGCCTTAGTATCCTG